AGTTCCATAAATTAAAAGTATTGGAGCATTTTCTAGGTTTTTTTTATAGTTTACAATTTGTGAAAACATAAATCTGTATGCAGGGAATGTCTTAATTAGTTCAAGGATGCAATACCCCCTTTAATCTTTAGGGCTTCATAGTCTGCAGGATTCCCAGAGTTACAACATATTCGAAAATGGATACAACTAAAATCTCAAGCTCATCCCATGGTATATTCCACAAAAAGGAAGATGTGGCTTGGAAAATACACATCAGTTGAATGCTGAGAAGCATTTATGTGCACAACACCCATAGAGAGATAAGAACCAGCTTTAGTGAGGACGACAAGACAAGGGCATCAGCAGTGAAACATATATGAGAGTATGGAAGACATTTTTTCATTGACTTTCATTGAGCCAATTTTACGTAGGCCTATTGTTGAGAAAATTACAAATTTTGTACTCATTGACTAACCCCATACACTATTGGCTATTATAGCTAGTGGTATTTGTGAATGAGAGAATTTGAGGTCATGAGTTTTATTCTATTATGATTATATACTCATACAAGTAGTTTTCTTTACTTTTTTTTCGATCTCTGATACAAACAATGGTAAGAGCAAAATGAAGTTTCCATTATTTGATCTCAAACCTTATTATTATGCCAATGCATTAAACCTTCTCTTATGTCAAAGCAGGTGTGATATATGTGCTAGTGTGGAAAAAATGATCATTCTAATGCAGGCAAAGTCATTAGCCTAAATAGAGCCAAACTCAAAACGTCAAGGAAAAAACTAATCAAATGAAGAAACTAATCGAGATCATATGCATGATCACCATCAAAACATAATACCTACATCATAATTCCTTTATTCTTTACTCATTAAACCATTCCATGCAGAATCAATCTATTCAACTTATAGTAACAAATTCAATCATATTTTCACAGACAATTACAATAGGTATTTGTCGTCACTTATTCAACACTCCTTACTGCCCAAATTCCACAATATTAAGTGAATCTATAAATTCGAAAGACGCTAGAATTATAAAAAAAAAAAAATTGGATGCAGCCCATATGTCTAATAAGTAATTTACGACACTTGACAAAAAACATTACAGGCACTATATATGAGAAAGATAAAGAAATTGATAAAAGCAGAAGTCATTTAATCCAAAGGACCCAAAAATATTGTATTTACATAAGGAAAACCCAAAAAGAAGAAGATAAATCTCAATAAAGTGATGCCATTTATAAAAATCAAAGAATACCATCATAGACCATGAATAAATAAGAAAGAGACAGAAAGAGGGCCACACCACAAGAACAATTGAAGCCTGAAAATTCATGGGAACTGTGCTATTGAACGAAAAACATAGATACAAACTCAAGCGGCACGAGAAACATGTAGATGCCTAAATTCAAACACCATCACCAACAAAAACACAACCCTTGTTTGAGATCCAATGTCTTTACATTTAGATTATAACTACTCTAACCTCTACACACCGAGAAAGAGAAAAAAACTAAGATAAAATGCAACCAATTGGTGAAAATCATCAAACCTCTAACAATTCGAAAACCTGATATGACAATCCATTAAAATGATATTTGTCGGTAGCTAGAAAAGAGAAGACGAAGATTTAACAATGGGTATTTGTTGGGAAGAAAAATCTGTGATAGGTATTTTTAGTGACCTCGTAATTAATTAGCGCCTATTTTAAATTCAATCCAGTGAAACGCTTGGATGATGCGGCCAGCCAACACAACTTCCACCCATTTTTGGGAATGGAGTCTTGGGATTCCAAGAGTTTCAATAATGATCAAGTTTCCACAATTAAAGTGAGGTCGAAAATTAACTCAAGTAACTTAATTAGGCTGATGAGCATTAATTGCTAATAGACCAATAAAAAATTAGTGCAAAAGGATATTGTTGTCTTTTACTAAGGGTAATAAGGAGAAGTAAAAGTTTTTCCTACTTTTTGTCATTTAGAAGTGGTATAGATATTTTTAGAGATAATGGGATGTGAATACCTTTTATAGAACTTATTTGGTTTTGAGTGCCACCTTCAAATTTATCCTCCTTTAAATCCTCTTTGTCATCAAATAATTGCTAATAAGTATACATTTTAAAACATTTTTAAATTATTTTTGAAAAGTATTTTATAATTATCCCTACCATAAATAGTGCACACCTAATTGACATCTTTTAGATTTCCAATATCAACAAAAAAATAATAACATCAAACAATAACATACTCAATAAAAAAACTTAATTTAAAATTTAATCATTGTAATAGAGTGACATCATATGTGAATATTTATTATGTTGTAGGGGTGTCACTCTATTATGATATCACTCTATTATAATGATTAAATTTTTATTGAGTACGTTTCTGTTTGATGTTACTATTTTTTTGTTGAATATATTACTATTTTGATATTTCTATTTTTTTTGTTGAATGTGTTACTGTTTGATATTACTATTTTTTTGTTGAGCGAGTTACTGTTTAATGTTTACTATTTTTTATGTTGCGTGTGTAACTGTTTGATGTTATTATTTTTATATTGAGCGTGTTACTGTTTAATACTTTTGTCCTATTAAGTTCTTATAGAGGTACCGGCCTCCCTAAACTCCATATTTTTATTATGAAAATTGTGATGAGCCCAAATTTTACTAGGTCAGGTTCAATTAATTAAGGAAGCCCAAATTAGTTACAAGGTGTGGATTCAGCCTAGTCCAAAGATCAAGGAGTTCAAGAATATTAGCGCACATGAAGAGCAATCATCGGTATAGTTACTCTCCAAGATTAATATTATTTCTAGTTGTACTTATTCTAGTTATGGATATCCTCCTCGAAAAGCTAGTCACATATTCCTTTACAACACCGCCTCAACCAAGGTTATGTGTCTATAAATTGTAATCTCTCTCCACATGAGAAGGGCATCTCTCTCTACACATTTTACACAACTATCTCTCTCATAGCTATCCAATGTTTTTTAGAGTTTACTCTTGCTCGCTTTCTCACCATATACTTTATCCAATATTTTGTTATATTTATTTTAAAAGAAACTATGCACCGATAAATAACTCTAAAATCATCTCACCAGAACACATTAAATGATATTTAAATTAAATAATTTACTTGTTAACCTGAATTCAGAGTAATAAATACATCCACCATGTCACAATTTCTTTGCATTTTCATTTATCCTTAATCTTCTGTTTATTTTTCCAATTAGAAAAAAATGTTCATTATTTGGTACTATGAGGTGAACATTCCATGAATGCTGTGTGTGTGTGTGTGTGTGTGTGTGAGAGAGAGAGAGAGAGAGAGAGAGAGAGAGAGATATTGAAGGCTTTGGTCAGCTTCTGTTTTCCATAAGTTGGTAACTTTGTTTTCACAACAAATCATAATTTATTAGCTCTTATCCACCTTTTTTTTTTTTTTTTTGACTCCTCACAGCTCTAGAATTGCATTCCTGATATGCATGGCTTGTGATAATCACTCTTCTTAAGGCTGCTTTGGTGATTTACTGTTTAATTTGTTTGTCTAGCTTCAATTTGAATGCAAAATGTTGTTGCCGTTTGATTTTTTTTTTCTTGAAATTAATTATTTTTTAACTAGCATTTTTTTTTATTTTTTTCTTTGTTTGAGTTTGTTTTTTTGCTATAACCATCGTCACAAGGGAATACTTACACTTGTGCACATACAAATATTTTTTATATTTTGATAAAAACAAGTGTTTGAAAAATTACGATTTGATAGATTACCAAGATTTCAATGCCATAACCATTTTCAGAAAGATGGTTGATTATTTCAAACTTCAAATTCTTTCCATTTTCTGTTCTATAAGAAAAAAGTTCGATTATCATAATAAATTTGACTTGAATCAATGATAAATAATTATTTAAAAATAATAATATAAAAATAAGATTGAGATATGAAATGTGTTACAACTAAGAGAATCACCGAAGAACGTCTCTCACCTTAACTCAATGGATAGTTTAAGTGGTAATAAAAATAAATTATATATTTAGACGTCCTGAATTTAAATTTAAACAATTTTTCATGTCAGACCACAAAAAATTTATTTCTCATAAGTATCATAATTCCGACGTGGATGAAACATAGCTCACCTTCTCAATAGCAGTGTGATCATTCTTTCTTTAATCACACAATTTTACATCAACCTTTATGACCTTGTGAGGAAGGAAGAGCATGGAGGCCATAGAACCTGGTGGGATGATCCTCTCGAAACAATCTTTTGTTTTTTAGGGTTCCGATTACTTGAAAGAATCGAGAATGGAAAAGGATTTTGAAAAATTCATTGACAAGTGTGCGCCATTGGAGTCACTCTGTAAGTCAGCTCTAAACCTGCTAAGTACGCTCAAATTTTTACTCTTTTTTAACTATTTAATAACTCTCTATAAACCCACTACAGATCCCAACATCATATAAATATAACAGAGAAAGTCTAGAGAGAGAAATAAAAGTTTTTTCTTTTCCCAAAAAATAAATAAAGAACTGAAAAAAAGTCCACAAATCCGAGATCTGGTATCTTCTTCAACTCTCTGGCGTGTTTGGACCATTTTTGTGTATTTTAATTAGTTTTTTTACTGATTCGATAAATAATAGACTTTTTATATCGAAATTAAAATATTTATAAAAATAAATATTTTATAACTTAATTTTAAAAAATTATTAAAATTTAAATTTAAGCCACATTAATTTACAGAAGAAGTGTCTTTTTCACTGTCATACACTGTTTTTAGTTTTACTTTGTTATTGTCAAATTAAAAAGCTCACTTTTTATCCGTACTGAGTTCTGATTTCACTGTATATTTGTGTGTGTGGGGGTGTTTCTCGTGAGAGAGAGAGCAGAAGAGTCAACTGCGTCTTTTCCTCTGATTTTTGGCAGCACTAGAAGACCTTGAAAAGTCCGAAATAGATATGTGACATACTCATTGTTTTGGGGATTTCACTTTCACTTTTTGGTGCTTCCGATTTTCTCCACAGTCTATTCCTAAAACCCTTCCGTTTTCATCTTTATGGGGGTGACAGCTAAACAGTCAAACCCATAGCTCAAGTTGAATGAAAATGAAAACTAGGGTTCGTTCACATTCTTTGTAGAGAGAGAATTTAGAGAAAGAGAAGTGTGAAGTAGCAATAACGGTTTTCGGCTGTGTTTTACCAACCAGTTTGGTTGTTTATAAATTTTGTGGCTTTGGTTGGTGAGTCGAGTTCATCTGGTTTTATCAGTGTAACGCGCCAATCTCTATCTAACTAACTTGAAGAGCGATGAATGCGGTGCCTTTGGTGGTAGTCTTTACCTCTTAGGTTTATACGTCCGAAAAGTACTTGCTGTCATATAAGAATACTCGGTGTGAAATTGAGATATTGATGCGTTTAGAAGATCTAGAAAAAGGGTTTGTTGTTGCCCCTATTTCATGAGTTTTTGGGGTTCCATTGGGGGTACTTGTGGTTCTGGTGGTAGTGGGGATGCAAGACTATTGTCTGATAGTCCATACGACATTATGCCCACTGCTACCATGGCTAATCCACGACTGGTCTATCCATCTATTGCTCAGCCCATGTTCAACAATCCAGTTCTCTCTCTTGCACTTGTATGCCTCCCTCTCTCTCTCTCTCTCTCTCTCTCTCTCTCTCTCTCTCTCTCTCTCTCTCTCACACACCTTCTTTATCTTTCCCTGTATGCACAAAAAATCAATATCTTTGTTGGTTTTTCAAATATTCGTTTAATTTGCTTTCGTTTTGTTGGGAATTGTGATTTGTGTTTGATTTATGTGTAATGTATTGTCGTGCAGAAACCCAAGAGAGAGGGAATGGGTGATCTTGTTGGGCAGAGTTTTGATCCTGGTTTGATGGAAAGGGCTAAGGAAGATGAATATGAGAGCAGGTCAGGAAGTGACCACTTGGCAGGTGCATCAGGCGATGATCAGGACACAACAGGCAATAAATCACGTAGGAAAAAGAAATATCATCGACACACGCCCTATCAAATTCAAGAGCTTGAATCGTAATTTGTTTTTGACACCTTTTGTGCAAATTTTTTTCACTTTGTTGTCACTAACCACAAAAATTAAGGAATTTACTAATGAGAGTTATTATCTGTGTATTGTAACAGTTCCTTCAAGGAGAATCCTCACCCTGAGGAGAAAGCAAGGTTGGAGCTTGGCAAGAAGCTAGGCTTGGAAAGCAAGCAAGTCAAATTTTGGTTTCAGAACAGAAGAACCCAAATGAAGGTAATTTGGGACATAATTTTCTCTTTGTTTCCTTTAACTTTCTTGTGGTTATTTGATTTATGGAGTTATGAAATTGAACTTAATCCATTGAACCAGACCCAATTGGAACATCATGAGAATACAATTCTTAAACAAGAAAATGATAATCTTCGAATTGAGAATATTGCAATCAAAGAGAATATGAGGAATCCAATTTGCACTAATTGTGGACACCCTGCAATTCTTGGCGAGATATCTCTTGAGGAGCACCATATCAGGATTGAGAATGCCCGGTTGAGAGATGAGCTCAATCGAATAAGCGTCCTAGCAAGCAGATTTTTAGGCAAGCCATTGCCATCTTTAGGTGGTTTTGTTCCCCTTGGAATATCAAATGCTGGTTTGGAACTTGCAGTGGGAAGAAATGGCTTCGGTGGTTTAAGCTCAGTAGACAGTGCATTCTCAATGGGTCTTGATTTTGGCAATGGGATTTCAAATGATTTGCCTGTGGTGCCTCCGACTAGACCAGCAGTTAGCATGACCAGCCTTGATGTACCATTGGATAGATCTTTGCTTCTACAGCTTTCATTGGCTGCAATGGATGAGTTAATGAAGCTGGCTCAGACAGATAATCCTCTCTGGTTCAAAAACTTGAATGGAGAGGGAGAAGCATTGAACATTGAGGAGTATGCACGGACATTTCCTCCTTGTATTGGTATGAAACCCAGTGGTTTCAAAACTGAAGCTACAAGGGCAACTGGTACAATAATCATGAATAGCATAGCGCTGGTGGAGACATTAATGGACACAGTAAGTTTTTCAATCCTTTGTGCAACCATTGTTATTTATGGTTCTTCATTGGAAGTTTGATTGTTTTCATGAGTTAATTGTTTGCTGAAAATTTTCATTATTTTTTTCTTCACATGTACTATTTTTATTGCGATTGGCAGATTTGGCTTTCCATTTGCATTAATGATGGCCTTAGTGGTTGCACGTTTTTTGGAATAGACTGACTAGTGAATTTTGAATTAGTAGGATCTTTGTTTATGTTGAGTGTATTTCTTTTGCTTTCTTTCATAAAGAATCGATGGGCAGAAATGTTCCCTTGCATTATTGGAAGGACTACCACTCTTGATGTGATTTCCAGCGGCATGGATGGCACCAGAAATGGTGCTCTGCAACTGGTATGTCATATTTAATTTTTCTGATTGCCCCAACCCCCCTTCTTTTTTTCTCCCCTCCTGCTACTGTGCTTTTCCTTGGCTGCAAAGGCAGAACCTGAATATCTTGCTTTATAGATGCATGCCGAGCACCAACTGCTTTCACCATTGGTCCCCGTTCGTCAAGTGAAGTTTCTCCGGTTCTGCAAGCAGCATGCGGAGGGGGTGTGGGCAGTGGTTGATGTGTCTGTTGATACCATCCAAGAAGGTTCAAATGCACACGCATTTGTGAATTGCAGGAGGCTTCCTTCTGGCTGTGTTGTACAAGATATGCCTAATGGTTATTCCAAGGTGATTACTTATCTGTATTTTCTTATTTGTCCACATATCTTTATAGGCAATCTTCCCACTTGTCTAATGCTTATGGAGCTATGTTGCCCAATGTTGGAATTGTCCCCTTTTGGCTTTTTACTGAGGTTGTTTATTAACTGCATTTTTTTGCTTAGTTGGGAGCAAGGATCAAAATGTCGTGTCGACACGTCCGAAACGTCCGAAACGTTTCGGAATTTCAACACTCCGAAACGAAACAGTAGTTGAATCACAAAATTCCAGTGTTTCGGTCGAAACGGTACTGTTTCGGACAGTTTCGGTCGAAACGGCACTGTTTCGGACCGTTTCGACAAAACAGTGATATATTCGGTTCATTATGAATAATTACATTTAATACCCCATTATAATTACATTTAATACCCACTGTAATTACATTTAATACTCACTATAATTATATTTAATATCCCACTATAATTACATTTAATTCCCACTGCTCTTCTGTCTTTTATAATTTTTTTGTTATAAGAATAAATAATTACACTTAATACCCTACTATAATTATATTTAATACCCATTATAATTATATTTAATACATACTGTAATTATATTTAATACCTCACTGCTGTGCAAGTTTTTTGTTTTTTTTTTTTTTTGTTATAAGTATTAACAATTACATTTAATACCCTAATGTAATTATATTTAATACCTACTGTAATTACATTTAATACCCACTGCAATTACATTTAATTTTTAAGTATACATAAGTATCATTAATTTAATTTGATACCCTTCATTATTAGTATTATAATAAAATAGTATTATTAATTGGATTATATTACCGTAATAATATGATTTGGAGTAACTATTGTCATCATATTTATGTCACATATGGAGTTTCTCTAAGTAGCTACCCAGAGCCTACACCGATGTATGAGCCTGCTCGACACTCCACAGGGGAATGGATGTAACCATGTAAGTATGTACTCATTAGCATTTCATGTGTATTATAAGACCTTAATATTATGTAAAAATGTGTTTATTTCATAAAAATTAAGTGTTTGAAACTAATTTAAGTGACTTTCGCCTCAAGTCAAGCCTTTTTTTCCCTCAAATTTAAATTTATTCTTGTATAAATTGATGTTAACCTAATAAATATGTTGAATTAATAAATTATTTAGCATATCTTTATAAATTAATGGATTGCATTTGTATTTCTATGCGTTTCCATATTTTTTCTGCGTTTCCATTGCGTTTCCGAAATGTTTCCGAAACGTTTCTATTTTTGAGTTGACCGAAACGGTACTTCGAAACGAAATTTTGATCCTTGGTTGGGAGTACTTGAAGGTAAAGTTTCAGCATTTGGAGTCACAACCACTTTGACTTGTGCTTCCAAAATTTAAAATTTTTCTGCTGTGATTTCCGAGCAATATTTTTGACAAGGTTGCTCTTAATCAAATACAACAGGGTGTCTTTGACCCAATAATCTACACTTTCTATCATTATTTTAGGTGTGCAGATGCTCCTTCTATGTATTATTTTAATCTTCAAAATTCAAAGCTAGGTGCTAAAATTGTCAGTCCATTGAATAGATGAGTGGACCGAGGATATCTACATTAAAATACTAATGGATACCTTTACTTCCATTTCTCCATTTTTAATATGTTAAATATATGACCTTTGCATGAAGGAAATAGCTTTGGAGTTTTCATTTTTTGTGGTATAAGTTATCTAGTTGCTCTCTCTCTCTCTCTCCATCTATCTATCTACGAGGTTTTATGACCTGGATACAGCCTTATGTTCTGCTCTTTTAAGCTCTAAATAGTGTGCCAATTTTTTCTTTCTCTCTTGATACTGTTCCCTTGGGGAAGGGTGTTTGGTGTAAATTTTATCATTTATTTATGCTGCTGTTTCATACTAGAACTGGAAGCATTCCTTTTCCTTACTCCTTGGGGTTGACCAACTCGTCTTTGTTCCTTGGAGCCTTGAATGTTTAATATTTTTTTGCACCTCCACTTGAATTCATGTAATTTTTTTTCCTAGATATCTTAGATGTTACTAACGTGTTATAAATCTGTCTCTCCCCGTCTTTCTTCCTTCGTGGCAGTTGCTTCTGAACAAAATACTAAGCAATGTTTCCCCTATTAAATTGATGGTATGGGGTTGTTTGGTGAATCTTTAAATTGTCACCTAGTGTGTATAAAAGTCTCGCGTTGCTAGCATTGGATAAATAAATTCAAAAGTTAGTGGTGAATTCAGAACTTGAGATGGAGCTTCGTAAAGATTTTTGGAATGCCCTAATTGCCTGCATAGTGTTATCTGGTTCTATTTAAAGAGTTCGGTCCATATTTAGCTAGGTTTATCAGCCCCTTAATTGGGATAAACTTTGTTTTCAGCTAGTTTGAGTTCTCATAGATGCTGCATGCATGCTAGCATGTTAACACAATAATAAAAAAATATGCGGAATGGCTTCTAATTTTAGATGTTTTTCAGGTTATCTGGGTCGAACATTCAGAATGTGATCAGAGTGCTGTCCACCAACTTTATCGACCATTGGTCAGGTCCGGCATGGGCTTTGGTGCACAAAGGTGGGTTGCCACCCTCCAGTGGCAATGCGAGTGCTTGGCGGTCATGATGCCATCCATTGTATCCAATGAAGATCACGCAGGTTAATTTTTTAGGTTGTTCTTTTTGTATGTGTTAAAATGGGAAAACTGGATGCTTATGGTTTTATACATGACAGTAATTACTCCAAGTGGTAGGAGAAGTGTGGCAAAGTTGGCACAGCGCATGATTCGTAACTTCTGTGCTGGGGTTTGTGCGACTGTACACCAGTGGGAGGTGGTTCAAGTTGGAAATGTGGTTGACGATGTGAGGTTGATGATACGGAAGAGCATTGGTAACCCTGGTGAGCCCCCTGGGATTGTTTTGAGTGCCACAATGGCTGTTTGGATGCCTGTATCGCATCAGCGTTTGTTTGATTTTTTACGGAATGAACAGCTGAGGAGCCAGTGGGATGTTTTGTCCTACGATGGTCCCATGCAACATATGGCCCTCATTGCTAAGGGTCTGGATCGTGGCAATAACATTTCAATTCTCGGTGCTAGTGTGAGTAGTCATCTACCATATCCAATGAATGTGATTATGATCTGAATTTTTTTTTTCTTTTTTCCTAAAGTTTTTTATTGTCATGACTTGGCAGGACACGGCTGCTATTCCAAATCAGCACAGCATGCTGATTTTACAAGAGACGAGCACGGATGCATCAGGATCAGTCATAGTGTATGCAGCAGTTGACATGCCAGCAATGAATGTTTTGATGAATGGAGGAGATTCCTCCTGTGTAGTATTTCTGCCTTCCGGATTTGCCATAGTTCCTGATTGTCTTCCCGATTCGGGTAGGTTAAACAACTGTAATGGAACTTTGACCAAAGAAGGTAGTAGTGGTAGCAGCAATGGGTCCTTACTGACTATAGGGTTCCAGATATTGGTGAACAGCCTACCGGAAGCCAAGCTCACAATCAAGTCAGTTGAGACCGTGAAAGCACTCATCTCTCGTACGCTTCAGGGGATCAAAGCTGCCCTTCATTGCAATTGACATGGCAGGATTGATATAGTTAGAGTGTTGCATAGGTTAATTAACCAGCTTTTGTTTTTTTGTTTTTTGAATAGCAAAACTACATATGAGATGGGGTATACAGAAGTGAGGCTGAGATGAAGATTCTGAAAAAGGGATTTGAGTCAAGAACGAACCGTGGTGAATCCTTGCTGGGTGTTAGGGTACATACGATGATTTTGAGTACAATTGCTCGTGGGGTGGGTGTCATTTAAGTTTGGCGCCAAGCAGAGGGTGGTGGTTCGGGTATTGACTCAGTTAACCAGGGAGATAAAATCAGGATAATCAGTATTCAGCTGTTTGTTGCTTATTTATAGGAGGGGGGGAAACAGAAAGATGATGGTCTCTGTAAACCTTTTTGTATTTGGATAGTATCTAAACGAACCTGTTGGTGTGATTTAAACTCTGATACCATATAAAATGCAAGTCTGCGAAAAGATTATTTCTGTGATTTAAACCGATAAATTGTAAATCGAAATGCAAGAAGTTATCACTTTTTGACAACGCAGACCATGGTGGAGGAGGCGTCCACCATTTCATGGATCTATGCAGATTCTATAACTTAGTCAAACTTTTTAAATTTTTAGTTTTTTGGTGATAAAAAACACGTATTTGACATCCCAACCACCTCTATTTATCAACCATGCAAAGGTCACAATCTGTTGAATCATGCTGAGATGGCATCGTTTATTAAAATGTCCTTATAGATTTGTTGTTGTACAACCACTGTAACTACGTAATTAACAATAAGATACCGTAGATATTTTGTTTTGTTAATTACAAGAAACTTGGCTGGGCTGGGCTGATGATCAACCTAATCTAGGTCATTGACAGAACATATCTTACTTGCTTCAGAAATGATGGACCATATGATGTCTTGTATTAACAAACAAACTTGTTGCCGACAATGATGGATGTTTGGGAGCTGGACAGCCATGAGCTTTTAGAGCACTGTTAGCTTTCTATCTTCCCAATTGTGCAATAGGTTATGGTACCTTCGCTCAAGATTGATAAATGAGTCGAATTTTGTGAGTTCGAATCGAGTCTATTAAGTTTGGTTTTTTAAATAGACTTAAAAAATTATTCAAGTTTAAATTATTTAAAAAACGAGTCAAGTATGACTCAAGTTCGAATAACTCGACTATTTTATATATAAATAAGTTGAACTTTGCGAACTCTCAAACTCGAATCTTATCTTATATGAGTCGAATCCAAGTTGAGCCCGAATAACTCGACTATATTATCAACCCTACCTATGGTCGAAAAATAATTAGATTGTTGATATAAACTTTATATTTTATTATTTTGGCAACAATGACAACAAATAACCAGAGCAAAAACAAATTTTTAACTTAACATCAAAACTTTATTTTTCAATAGTGTAATAATTTCGAATAATACTATCCCAGAAAAATTACGATATCAAAAGAGGCATGTAACACCCCGCATTTTCTTTTATATATGTATATAGATATATAGTAAATAATTGTGATAAAAAAAATGTGGATATATGTAGTGATGTGTGTTTGAATTTGGTAGATTGGAAAAGTAGAGATTTAAAATGTTAGTGAAAATAATAGTTAAAATTTGGTTTTAATAAGTAAAAATATGAAATTTTAGGTCTTAGAACTTGTATTAAATAGGTTTGGTGTAGAAATATGTGTTGGAGAGGTTTGGGATAGATTTGGTTGGCTTAGAAATGGATTGAAAATGGAAAAGGGACGAAAACAGGCTATGAACAGTGCACGTGAACAGTGCACTGCTGCAACTTCAAGCTCGATTTAGACCTTGATGCAGTCAATATCTCTCAAAACTCAAAACATGAAAGTTTTAGAGCTCTTTCGTATCATTCCATAGCATCGTGAATCATCTCAATCGAGCTTGGATGAGAGAGTTATGCTCAGATAACGAAATAATGTCGAAATAGCCCAATTAGCTTCGTTTTGCATTTAATGTCTCAATTTGCATTCTAAATCAAAATATAAGAATAATGAGTACTTTTAAGCTTCAAATAAGTATAAAAAGCTTTAAGAAACACCCTTTATCACCTTTTATTTACAAACATCGCAAAACTTCATTAATAGCCGATTCGGATGGGTAAAATAGAAACTTTAGTGTTTCGGGTATACGTTGACTTGAGTGTTGAGATAAATCATAAAAATAAATGTTTTTAAGTTAAAATAACATTAAAAATAAATCCGGAACATCGAAAAACTTTAGGGTAGTCATATGGATCAAATTGGAGATTCTTAGTAGCAAAATCGTAAATTTGGAGAAACTCAAAACAGCCTGTAAACAGTATTTTTCGGGGCTGCTATGTTTTAAACTCATTTTCATCTCATTTGTTCTCATTTTCATTTACTCCCCTCACACTCCCACACCTCTTGAAACCCTAGAGGGCATTAGAGAAGAAGAAAGGAAGGGAAAAACAAGAGATTCAAGGGTAATTCAAGATTAAATATTCTTGTTTTTCACTCCAAAGCTAAGGATTCAAGGTAGGGGTTTTCTCTCATTCACTTACATTGAGGCTAGGGTATGTATATATGTATGTTTTGACTATCAATAATATATATATGCTATGAAATCATCTTCTTTTAGGCTTTTTGCAAAGATTACATGTTTTGAACAAAGTAGGATTTAATACCCATGAAATCTCCTTTCTAGTTTTAAAACCCTAATTTTTGGAGAGTGATGTATTTCCTTCCTAAATGCTTTCTTTATTATGGATTTCGAAACCTTAGTGCTTTGTGTTGGGTAGAAAAATGATGTTATTGTGATCTCATGTATTTTCTTAGTTGGTTGTGGAATTGTTACATGATATATTTTGGGGATTTTGGATAGATGCTTGTAAATTGAGATAAATGTTGGAATTGTATGCTTGGTTGGGTTGTTTGTGATGCACATGAGTGAGAGGTTCCTTGTAAGGATGCTCACCCCTTCCCAAGAGGTTCCCGGTAAGGATGCTTGGAAAATAATGTAGTGATTGGTGAGAGGTTCCATGTAAGGATGCTCATCCATTTTCAAGAGGTTCCCGGTAAGGATGCTTGAGAATAAAAGGTGACCTAAAAGGGGGGTAGATGTTACCACAAAGTATGCCACCTACCAAAAGAATTGTTGAGAATTGGTTATGACAATTAATGGTTATTATTTGTATGTGGTGCTCATTTATTCATTTAAGTAATGTTTTTAAATAAACTTGAGATCCTTTTTAAATGTCACTGCTTTATTTCAAATTATGTATCTATATTATGTTAAAATTGAGACCGACCGTTTTAAATATTTTTCTAAACTTGTATGGGTTTGAGAGAATTTTTCTACAGAGTTTCGTGCTCACCCCCTATCGCTAACATTTTTCAGATTACCCGCTTGAGGAGGAGGACATAAGGGTTGAGAAGCCCGCTACTTGGGAGACTCCACAGGACGGGAGTGTGGATTCCGAGGTGGACGCATAAAGCGACCTCCTTTCCTTTTGTACTAGACTAGGACATTCTTTTGGAACATTGTGTAGTCTAGCTTCTTTTATTTATTCCGCTGCACTTTCTTAATTAATTTTTGAGATATAATAACCATGACTTGGGCTTATTCTTTTGGATAATATTGTAAATATTCGTGGATGACAAATGAAGTCTTGTTTCTTAAGGGATTATGTTAGTGCTCTCATGATATGAATGATTTTAGAATATAATGTCATCCAGGGTGTGTTTTGGGGCGTTACAAGGCATTATACCAAAAGTTATAATATTTTAAGATCAAATTATAATTTTTTCGTGGAATAAGTTACAACTCCATATGACATGATCATTTACAGTATTTTGTGATCGGTTATAAAAGTTATAATTTTTAAAAATCAAGTTACTATACTTAAATAAATAAAGTTATAATTACATGATATAATTTATAATCAATCATAATATTTAATAATTGATTATGAATTATCCTAATAATTATAATTTCATTTTTAAAAGATGCAACTGAAATTTAAAAATTAATTTTTTTTTAGTACAATACCAAAATTATTTTTGGGTACATTAGTGCTATCATATACCAAACATTCATTTGCTTCCGCTCTGGATCTGTGTGGTACAAGTAAGGGGGATTTGCTTGATGTGCAATCGAGGAAAAAATATTGTGTGACGATTATATTGTGTTACTATTAACACGAGATATTATCATTTAATAAAAAATTAATAAATAAATAAGTGAATCTCACATATTTTAATAATCGCCCTATATATTATTTTAAAAAAGGTTCACTTTATATATTTATAAATTTATTTTTAAATAATAATACCATACAGTGTCACGATTCCGCTAAATATTTACTTGTAATTGGGACTGGTGTTCTTGGTTGAGTGGCCCATAGTCTTTCATTGCTGTCGTAACAGAGACTTCACTCCACTCCAGTGGCCTGGCCCCTGCCCCTGTTTGCCCACCTGCTACCGTTATTAAGAATGGGGGATTGCACCAGTCACCACTGTTGTTTTGCTTCCCTGCCACGCACCGCCTGCTGTCTCTTCAAGCGCCACCAGTCTGGCGGACCTTGCCCACCTGCAACAGACTACCCTATTAATGCACAACAATATAAATTTAAACTATATATATTATTATAAATCAATTCGATGTAAATTAAGTAATGCGAATTGGAAATGAGACAATTCATTTACAGTGCAGGTGGAAAAGTCAAATGATTTGATCATCAGCCAGTTAATTACGGGTGTCAATAGTGTTATATCTTATTTGTTTTGTGTCGTGTCACGTTCAATCGTATTACTTTTAATATGTATCGGATTCGTATTAATATTTGTGTTGACAAAAAATTATTTAATTTGATAACAACTAATATAATATTATTTAAAAAATTATAAAATTCTTATTTTCTATCTAAAATACTCGTTCAATAATTATTTTTTATCTACAATATTCATTAATCGTGTTATTTGTATCAAAATCTTAATTTGAATCATTTATTACTCGTGTCAACGAATCATATTTTTTTCAAATTTATGTCAAGTTTAGTTCGAATCGAGTTTACCATCGAGTCAAAAATTGACACCCTATTCGCCAGTTCACTGACATTAACGAAGTGGAAGACTGGAAGTGTCTCTGTCTTTCTGGTCTGAAACAGGGTGATGACTACGCTATCCGAATATTAAGAATTGAATTATAAATTTTTTTGCAGATTTCAATCAAATTGATGGTAATATTTATCACTTAACCACTTAGATCTCTTGCTATTTAAAATATCATACATAAATTTTTTGAAGTGTATATGTATGTAATATTTAGATCCTGGTGTCAATGTTCATTAAATATCTATTAGTAAATTATACTCAAATCTCTTGGAGTTCGTAGGTATACAATATTTAGACCCGTCAAGTTTATAATATTATACTTTGATAAAAAATATTTTAATTAAAAAAAATCAAATATTTTAAATTTTACAATTAAAATTTATGTTATATTATAACATTTTATTGAAATAAAATCAAAAATAAAAATTTATTTTTTTCTTAAAAAAATAATAATTATTATATAATTATACTATCTATTGAAATTTAATTTGGTTGCTAAAACAACCAAATTAAATTATCAAATTTTCTCAATTAAAATTAGAAGATATTGTATCAATTACAGTATGACCTATTATTTGATTTTTTTAGTTTTATTCTAATACATAGTATAATTGTATATTAATTATAATTTTTTTAAGAAAAAAAATAGATTTTTTATTTTTTATTTTATTTTAATATATGACATAATATAATATGAATTTTGGTTATAAAATTCATGTTTTATTATGAATGATATAGATCCCTTGTTTGATTTTTTAATTTTATTCCAATAGATAGTATAATTACATATTAATTATAACTTTTTAAGAAAAAAATTAAATTTTTAATTTTAATTTTATTTTAATAAATGATAAAATAAAATATGAATTTTAATTATAAAATTTAAAATATTTTATATTTATATTTAATTAGAGTATTTTTTTATCTAAATATAACATTTTAAACTTAAAAAGTTTAAGTATTCTATACTTACAAAATTTCAAAAGTTTTGGGTATAATTTACTAACGAATATACTATCGGATATTGATGACAAGAGTTTAAGTGTTATATACGTGCAAACTTCAAATATTCCTATGTAATATTTTAAATATTATGAGATTTAAATGATTAAAAGATAAACTCTAGAAATTTGTTATAATTCTCCCTAATTTTTTTTTTTTAGATCAAGTGACAATTTGCGATGATATTTTTAGCAGATTATTACATGGAGAGGAGAGTCAACACGGTTCCCGCAATAGTCATATCAATCTGACCAATGTGGCTCCTCCAGTTGGTGTTTGCAGGGAACACAAATTTACTTTATTATTATTATTACTTTTTGTTATGAAATAATTTTTTTTTTAACAATCAAAATGTCCGTACCATCTTATACGCAATACGATTAATTCTCTATTAAATTTAATTAAAAACAGATCATTCACATCAAGACTAAACTTAATCCAAAAAAATTATTAAAATTCAAATTTATGACAAATAAGTTTACAGTTCATCCCATTTATCACTAAAATTACCTCTGAAAATTATAAATTTTTGCATTCATGGAGAAATCATCTCTTCCCAAATAATTACAAGAATATTAATATATTTCTCATCTAAGTTCACTTAACAGAATCTCCTACAAAGCTTTTGTTGGGGTTGATACCCAATAAAAGCTTTTGGTGGGGTTGATACCCAATAGGTTGGGAAAATTCCCTACCTGGCTTGTGTTGCTACCATATTCCCATTCCTCTTAATGGGTACTAAATTGGATGTTGGGAATTGTTAGGTAAAAGATCAGGGAGTTATCTATGGTATAAAAAAAAAAATTGTCACTGTACCTATATTTATAATTTTTTGTGGGTGTTTTTATTATTATTATGAGTCTTTTTATCATTATTATGATAATTATTTTGATCATTTTTGTGTCACTCACAATAATAGTAAAAACACTCACAAAATTTATAAATCACTTACAAAAATAATAATTTTTTTGTTATAAAATGATTCATAGCAATTATAAAAACACCCATTAAAAAATAAAATTTAAAATTATGATACCAAATTTTTTTTCCCGATACCGTAATCAAGTCCTTAAGTCCATATACATCCGTCTGACTACTTAAAAAGTATAAACTTTAATATTTTCTTGGGCAATGTTTTTGAAATAACTTATTTTCAGAGACAAATAACATCATTAAAAAGTTAAAATATATATCATTATTATTTTTCAAAACTAACCTAAACATATTTTAAGATTGAGATATTACATTTATATATCCATCCATATATATTTATTATTATTCATGTAATTAAGGCTCGAATAAGACAGCAAGCCATGGAAATAAAAAATTAACAGTAACTAAATATCTTTTCCAATTCAAGGAGACTCATATATTTACTTAAATAATTATAAAAGAATACTCAATCATTTATTTAAATCACCAATAATCATATTTTACTCTTTTTTAAATTTGAGTTTCTCGATTAAAGTTTTTTGTATCAAATTAATTTTTTTATTCAAATATTGACTCAAATTTAAGTAAAATTTTGAGTTAATGTTGGAGATGTTTTATTGGATCTAATATTGTACTAAAGAGTGATGTTATTTGTATTTAAAAAATTGATATAATTTATTGGCTTAATGACATAATTTCGTTATAATCGTTAAATTAAATATTAAATATTAATATTTGATGATACTTACAATTAATCTAATAAATATAATAAATTAAATCTGTCCTGTGCTCTTGTACCAAGTGGAGACTCTTTTTTTTTTGGATAAACATTTTCTAACTTGTTTTTAGGGGTAAACAATTGAAAAGGTGTAGAAATTAGTTCCAACGGAGATAGTGGGAGAAGAGAAGGTAAAATTGTCTTGACAATGGCTGCCACAATCCCCCTCTTTCTTCTGCTTTGCTTTCTGAAAGCAAAACATTTTTGACAAGAGTCCACCAGCTACATTCCACACTTAGCTAGGCTTTTCAGTGCATTTATAGAGAGAACCATCATCTCTCTCTCTCTCTCTAAATCTACACTCTACGTCTACATTGTCTGATGGTCCTAATACCCAAATACTAAATTCAACGCCACGCCAACGGGGCAAACCTCTTATCATTTGTTGTCATCTCCTTTCCATTTTATTCTTTTCTTGAGATTTGTTTAACTGCAGTTGACCTAATTTAGTGTAAACTTCCCCTATATATATATATATACACAAAGATTTCTGTATATTGAGACTCCTACAGATTTAGAGAGAGAAACAGAGTTTCTACACAGAGGGACAGAGAGAGAGAGAATGGGGAATTCATTTGGGTGCTCCGCCTCCGGCGAGAGACTGGTATCGGCGGCGAGGGATGGGGATGTTGTGGAAGCCAAGATGTTGCTTGATTGCAATCCTTGTCTGTCTAAATATTCCACTTTTGGTGGCCTCAACTCTCCTCTTCACTTTGCCGCAGCCAAAGGCCATAACGAGGTCGACCCATGTTCAATTTTCTCTTCGTTCTCTGAAACCCATGAATGTTTCGATCCAATTTACTTGCAGTTATGTGGTGTTTGTGTTTGGTTATTGATTGCTTTGTGCGGTGATGTAGATTGTGGCATTGTTGCTAGAGAATGGAGCTGATGTGAATTCCAGGAATTATTGTGGGCAGGTACAACAATTTGATTTTTGCCTCTTATGGGGCTTTCGTTTTACGGTTTTTGTTTTATTGTAATTGAATGTTGATTATAGTTTGGGAAGTTGATTTGGTGAATTTTTCCGAGATCAGCCCATTCCTAGGTGATGTAATCGCATTATGTGTTTTAAGATATTTGAGCAGGAATTTTNGGTGTAGAAATTAGTTCCAACGGAGATAGTGGGAGAAGAGAAGGTAAAATTGTCTTGACAATGGCTGCCACAATCCCCCTCTTTCTTCTGCTTTGCTTTCTGAAAGCAAAACATTTTTGACAAGAGTCCACCAGCTACATTCCACACTTAGCTAGGCTTTTCAGTGCATTTATAGAGAGAACCATCATCTCTCTCTCTCTCTCTAAATCTACACTCTACGTCTACATTGTCTGATGGTCCTAATACCCAAATACTAAATTCAACGCCACGCCAACGGGGCAAACCTCTTATCATTTGTTGTCATCTCCTTTCCATTTTATTCTTTTCTTGAGATTTGTTTAACTGCAGTTGACCTAATTTAGTGTAAACTTCCCCTATATATATATATATACACAAAGATTTCTGTATATTGAGACTCCTACAGATTTAGAGAGAGAAACAGAGTTTCTACACAGAGGGACAGAGAGAGAGAGAATGGGGAATTCATTTGGGTGCTCCGCCTCCGGCGAGAGACTGGTATCGGCGGCGAGGGATGGGGATGTTGTGGAAGCCAAGATGTTGCTTGATTGCAATCCTTGTCTGTCTAAATATTCCACTTTTGGTGGCCTCAACTCTCCTCTTCACTTTGCCGCAGCCAAAGGCCATAACGAGGTCGACCCATGTTCAATTTTCTCTTCGTTCTCTGAAACCCATGAATGTTTCGATCCAATTTACTTGCAGTTATGTGGTGTTTGTGTTTGGTTATTGATTGCTTTGTGCGGTGATGTAGATTGTGGCATTGTTGCTAGAGAATGGAGCTGATGTGAATTCCAGGAATTATTGTGGGCAGGTACAACAATTTGATTTTTGCCTCTTATGGGGCTTTCGTTTTACGGTTTTTGTTTTATTGTAATTGAATGTTGATTATAGTTTGGGAAGTTGATTTGGTGAATTTTTCCGAGATCAGCCCATTCCTAGGTGATGTAATCGCATTATGTGTTTTAAGATATTTGAGCAGGAATTTTCTTGAATAATCAACAAAGTGTTGGATCTGACATTGAATCTGCCTATTGGATTGTAATTATGAAATTGTATTGCTAGACGGCATTGATGCAAGCTTGTCGGTATGGCCATTGGGAAGTTGTCCAAACTCTCCTGCTCTTTAGATGCAATGTGAGTTTCCTTTTTAATATCTTCCCTTTTTTGGTCCTTCTATTTTCAGTACTCAATTGTGAGCAAGTTTATCGTGCATAATAAATCTGATCTCTGCTAATTGAGATGCAGTTCAGGACCAATGGTTCACAAGTATGAGGTTTTAGTTTGAGGAACTTCTCAAGAATTGGTTAAACTATTTCCAGATAACATGTTTCATTTCTTCTAGGTTACAAGAGCGGACTATCTTAGTGGAAGGACAGCTCTTCATTTTGCCGCAGTAAATGGACATGTAAGATGCATCAGACTAGTGGTGGCTGATTTTGTTCCAAGTGTTCATTTTGAATCTGTAAATTCTCTAACAAAAGGTGATAGAAGTGACAGTTCCACCATAAAAAGCAGACACGACCAAAGGTTCGTAATCTGTTCATGTTCCACTTGGTCCTTTTTTTTTTCTTCTGAAATATACTTCATTACAACGTAAATGGATATGGTGGGATGATTAAATTTTAAGATGGGTTCATCAGTCATGCCCCCCAAAACTATAAATTGCCCCTTGAGAAGCTGTGACCTGGTAGAAGTTGAAGCCATTTTAAGGATGAGGGGGAAGACCATCAAGGACATGGGAAAAGATGTTGCATTATGTTGAATAGGACATTGGGTTGTTGATGAGGGTTAAGTTTATTAGTAGATTCTTTTATATATGTTATCAGAATGTGCTTTCTAAACATGAGAAGGGAACCCAGTGAATTTGTATTGTGAAAATGCTATTCAAGTTCGTGTTTCAATACAAGTAGCCTTCTCCAAATTTTTTCCTTCAGCACTATGGCTTGGATAATTTTTGAGGACGTATTGATTCTCAAAGAAGAAGCTCTGATAAGCTTAAACATGCCTAGTAACAATTAGAGGGTTGTTAACTTAATGAATGCAAAAATTAACAAAAATGAACTATTTTTTTCACTTATTTATTTAATTTATTCTGTTGCAGTCCACTGTCCAAGTTCGTAAATAAGGCAGCTGATGGTGGCATCACCGCCCTTCATATGGCTGCATTGAATGGGTATTCTGATTGTGTACAGCTCCTTCTTGATCTTCATGCAAATGTGTCATCTGTGACATTTCACTATGGGACGTCAATGGATTTGATAGGTATGTTGTTTCACTGGAACTTAAGAATTCATTCAATTGGTGGTGACTTTGTGTGATGCTGAATTCATATAAAATGACCGCATCTCTTTGTAGGAGCTGGAAGTACTCCCTTGCACTATGCTGCTTGTGGGGGAAATTTGAAATGCTGTCAGGCAAGGATTAGTTAGTGTTTATTGATTTTCTGATGTGAAAGTCCTACTTAGTGTAAGATGCTGATGTCCTTATGTATGCAGATCCTGCTTGCAAGAGGTGCCAGTCGGTTGACCTTGAACTGCAATGGGTAAGATGCAGTCCATTGCTTTTTGTGCTGTTCGATCTTTAATGCTTCGCATAGGTATTGCCTCTCTCTGTGCACATGCTTGATGGAAACATGTACAGGTGGCTTCCTCTTGATGTAGCCAGGATGTGGGGGCGTCATTGGCTTGAGCCATTGCTGGCACCCAATTCAGACTCCACAATTCCAATGTTTCCTCCTTCCAATTATTTATCCTTGCCTCTCATGAGTGTACTTTATATAGCAAGGTATTTTTCCAGTCATCAATTTTTAAAGCCACTGTTGTTCACTTTATTTTCAATTTTCTGCTAAAACATTATACTCTTACAAAGCATACAGTTCTCTTTATTTGCGGAGGTTAGACAGAACTGCATTCCCAGGTGTATATGTCCAGATGTTAATATTGCATTGCATCAGAAACCCTTGGTTTGTTGAAATGTGGCTTATCGTTTGCATAGCAAACATGCTTATCCATTTTGAAGACTCCAGCTCTGTGTTGAGCTAAAGTTTTTAGAATCTAAAGCAAGCTGTGGAAGTTTATAAAAGTTTACGCTGAATTATTGATTGGATTATCCTAAAGTTTCTAAGCTCTTTGAGTTATACTTACACTTGGTCAAAATATTTTTTTTTTCTTAACTTTTATCAAGCATCTACAAAAGTTCCCAGCATGATTGTGCTCTTCAAGTCTCATATGATCTCAGCATGATGAGGATTCTAACTTGGGAGAAGCATAATTTATACACTGACAGCAATAAGCACCAAGTATAATATCTTCTCAATTTCCTGCAGAGAGTGTGGGTTGCAGTGGTCAGCAACATCTTCCGATGATGCTGATATTTGTGCCGTTTGCCTGGAGAGGGTGTGTACTGTAGCTGCTGAAGGTCTGATATTTCTTTCCCATTTGACAACATGATTTGGTTTATATCTAAGACAGAAGTCGAATATATTTGGTAATACTGCAGTACTTGATCTAATTAGTGAGGATGTCACAATTCAGACCTTCATGCTGATTTGTTTGTGGGAATCTTTGTAACTGTTTCTTCTCTGATTATCCTGAGAGATGAGGTCCTAAGGCTGATTGAAATTGAGACAATTTGTTGGTTTAGTTTACTGTTCTACGTATCGGTTTGTATGTGATGCAGATCAAAAGGTAGAAGAATGATTGCACCACCAAACTGTTCAAAATCTTAGTTGGCCTGGTTTGCTTATCAGGGCAGGTGACATTCAGTATGATTCATGCAGTCTTCTTCAGCATCAAATCAATTGAAAAAGTTCAAAGGGTAATTCTATGGTAGCTAAAAAAATTTCGGTACCGAGCCGAAAGTTACTACTTTTTGAGGTCAAGTTACACCTTCTAAAGTTGAAGCTATAAGTACTTAAGGTAGCTTCATCATCGATCATGAAATTTTATGATCTATTATGAATACCCCTTGATATGTTGTAACTTGACCTCACAAAGAGTATTAACTTCCATCACTTTTTCAGTTGTAACTTCTATCACTTTTTCAGTTGTAACTTCTACCACAAAAAGTGTAAATTGATCTCAAAAAGTGGTAAATTTTGGCTGGATATGTTATTCAGTCTAAGGTGTATCCTTGTTACCTATGGTCTCCTATCAGAAATTTATGGACCTAAAGTACAATTTTGAAATTTTAAGAGGATCCCTGTCCTGCAGATTAATCCTTCTCGAAGTTGTGTTGTAGGTATCAGTATAAAAAGATGAGGGATTATCTTTGTTCATATGCGAGATTCGGACGGTTCTCTTGTGCATCTCTATTTAGTATCCAGAATAATAAATAATGGCCTTTTCGGGCTTTTCTTGGATAGTGATCTCTTTGCTAGTATATTTTGGTTTTAGATTAACCAAATCTGTCTTAGCCTATTTACCCTGAATCTCCAATTGTAAGGCACCACTTCCTGGTCTGAAATCTTCTGATTCGATGTTTGTCATCCCTAATTAACCTAGTCCTGTTAGCTATAATTATGTTTTAAGCAAATACCATATTCTAAGAACCTGTTCCTAAATGAGCAGCAATAAGTTCATCTATCACCCACAGTAGTATGTTTGAGGGCTTGTGTTGCTCTCATGCTATAATGTCCTTGGTCAAGTCAATACAATTGCATTCTAAACCTCACTCCATTATTTTAACGAATGCTAACATGTGCCCGATGAGGAGTGTGTGTTTTAACTTCCTCTAGCTTTCTTATAACTAAAGTATAATTCATTTTGCTGGTCTCTACTGCATGAAGCGAACTCCAACTGTGTGAGTAAAAATTTTCACTTATGGGTAGTTCAGTTGGCAGAAAGATAGGAGAACTTCAGAAAATTAGAAGCTTGCAAGTTTCAGCTCCACTTGGTTGTGAGATTCATTTCATTTAGCCTTTAACTTCCTTGTCAATTAAATCAAGCACTAATCTTTTGCTTTCTTAAAAGACTTAAAACTGTGAAGGACCTCTTTTCTTCTTCCATTGTTTACCCTGTTTGATTTGCATAATTTTGATTGGTGGAATCTTTTTTAGTATAGTTCATATTGGAAAAAATTGCGCTCTTTGGTCGCCTAATTATTTTAAGCCTTCTGCCCAGTAACAGGGAATATATTTGCTACTCTTTTATTCACAGAGAGAGAAAGAGAGAGTTGCTATCATCGTGTTCTTGAACATTTCATACTTTGATCTATTTTTTTCAGGTTGTGGACATGAACTTTGTGTAAGATGTGCACTCTACCTTTGCTCAACTAGCAACATTCCTTCTGAAATATTGGGTCCTCCTGGGTCCATTCCATGCCCTCTGTGCCGATATGGCATTGTCGCTTTTGTGAAATTGCGTGGTTCTCCAGCAAAGGAAATGAAATTACCTCTGTCCCTTAGCTTATGCACTCCATGCATGCTTCACCGGGAACCAGACCAATCAACAGCGGCTTGTATACCTGAGATTCGAAAGAATCGTGTAGCTTCTGTTTCTGCTGATCTTTCCTGCCCAGTCACTTGTAGCCCATTCCCTTCTGTTGCTATCCCTTTGTGCACCTGCAATAGTGGACCATGTCCTTCTTTTGAACCCAGAGAGGGTGAAACACAAGATGAATCTCCTCATCGCTCACAATCCTCATCACCAGATCACGACAAGCTGGAAGGAGTGAGGCTTGAGAAAACAACTTGTTCAAGCATGTTTTGGGGCAGAAGGAGCTGCAGCAGGGAGAATCAATGCAATGCGGAAATAAACGCTTGATTGGTTTGGTGAATGTTTTAGTCTTATACCTTCTGGATTATACTTGGACAGAGTAGAGCAGTCAATTGTTTCAGTTTGATAGATTCCCCAAATCTGTCTTTGCTGCTGCTGTTTCCGTTGGACCGTTAATGGATCGAAGTCTGGGATATTACAGCATTGTGACCACAGTCCTGTTTGCTTAAGATGATTGAAGATGGGTTTGTAAAATTTGTGTTGAAAGTAGAGTGATTGTAAGCAAATGTCATCCAAGGGTTGACTCTTCTATTAATCATTCTGGGTTCGTTTGTTACTGATTCTATTGCACGTAGTTGTTGTAATTTAAAGAAGAGAAAACACTGGCACAGCAGTGATGGTTTGGTTTTTTGTGTGTGCCCAATAATTACTAGTATTATTACGGGTGGGCAGGACGCTAGGCTTAACATGGGTCCAACTGTCCAACTATGGTACCTAACAGAAGACCAAAGAAATTCATGGCTTCAAAGTAAATGGTCTCTAGCCCAATTTAATTATTGTAATTCTAACCGTTAAATTTCTTTACTTAGATATTATTATTTGACACATAATTAAGTCAATATATTAATTTAAATTTTTACTTTCTAATAGTATTATTCATTTATTAAGTGCACAAGGATATATGATTAGAATTTTTAAGGGTAAGTCATGTGATAATAAAGATGAATTATAAATTTAGATATTTTAAATTTAAATTTTGATAATTCATTAGAGTCACGTCAAGAGAAATTTATCTTAGTGAATGCCTTAGTTCTGATGTGAATAACCTACTTTTGATTAGATCAAATAAGAGATTAGTCGAAGTACGTAAAAATTGATCTAAATATAGAAAGAAAATATATATATATATATATATATATATATATGAGTTTAGGGTTCGAAATCAAGAATTGAGAACTCATTAACATTTCCCCCAAACAGTGAACCCCTTTTTCTTTTCCTTGACTTTTTTGACAGGCAATGGGACATCACCACAATCTTCTTATATTTTCATTCCATGACACGTAGCATAAACAGTAGCCTTTAACAATCTACACATCTCACATACATCAGATCCTCAAAAGACTGCTCGAAGATGAGAAAGAAACAGTAACCTAAGCTGAAAAACACACACACACACACACAACCGAACACAGTGTTTCAAGTACACCAAACTACTCAAAAACAAAAAACAACACATTCCAAACCCCAATTTGTATGGCACGTAGCATGAAAAAGTATCCCTATTCGATCTTCGCAGACCTATCCCACAGTGTCTCTCTCTCTCTCTCTCTCCTGTGGAAGTGGAACTGACGATATAGTGAGAGTAGAGGTTCTTTTGAGAGTAGAAAAGGGCCATAGTTTATCTTCTTCTCGCAGCAGTCTCTCTCTGTGCGTTGAAGTACACAGCAGCCACTGGAAGTCCCAAGTCATTCTGTTCTGAGAAGCTTCTGGTGTTGAAATGGTCTCTTGAAGGTGGTGGACTCACTGTTTGTCTTGCTTTCTGCTGGAACAAGACGAATACATAGCGGTGGATACCAATGACTGGCTTTGGAGTTTCATAGCTCACAATTTCTCTGCCTGTTTCAATTCAAACACTCCAAAAATGAATGCGGTTTTTGAAGGTAAATGTTGAAGTATTTGAGAAAACTTATCAACTACATCGAGAAGATTTGCACATGCATGAATCTAGCCCTAACGTGAGCGGCCGCTTATTAAAGTATATAAGTACGTAAGCTCTAAAATTTGGAAACTTGCCAAAGGAAGCATCAGTGGTGCCAGGAATGTCTGTGACAATCCTGAAAGAAAATAATATGAAGTTAAAGTAGGTTAAAATTAGAAATACCCGAAATAAAATGTGCATTAAACTAGAAACGGTAGTTGGGTTAGTAATACAAACCAGTGAAGATGTTCCCTTAAGTGTGGATCACTAGGGCTTGGAGCATCAGGGTCTGTCATGATCTTCAAAGATACATATATACATAAAGAACAAAGAAAAAATAACATACAATCACAGACACAATTGCAAATATAAAGAGCACAATGGTGCAGTTTAAGGGAGACTTACAAGTGTATAAGCAGGCCTCATGTCCTCGCCACCGATCTCGACACGGGGCTTAGCAGTAATGACAGCAGGCATGAATTCATGGCCATTGCAAACTTGCTTGCTACAATTATAAGTAACTTTCATTTTCACACTTGGGGTGAAATTGTCCACTACTTCTCCTATAACTCTCTCTACAGCAAGTGATTCAGTAAGCCTTGACATGATGTGTGTGTGTGTGTGTGAGAGAGAGAGAGACAGAGAGAGGTGGTTTAAAGTAAAGGTGTAATGGGGTTGAGAAATGAGAATGTAAGATCTTATATAGAGAGAGAAGCAAGATTCCAAGAATGGGAAGTGAAGTGCTAATTGGCAGCTAGGAGGTTTGAAGATTCTTTTTCTTTCGAAAAGTGAGATTTAAGTTAAATGATTCTCTAACACCTCACCATGATGCCACAAAAGATTGTCTATATACGGAAAGAACATGTTTACAGAAAATTAAAACTGAGATGTCTTCTTCATAATTGAAAGAAAAGCTAGAGATGGCCTGTTGATTTTTTTTTTTTAGTATCCCATCAAATTATTATTGGACATTGTACAAAGTCGCCTTTTCACCCAAGAAAATAAATCTGCGAGTGGTGGCTTCAAAGAGTATACTATACTCACTCATAGAATATTCGGATTCTTGACTTACTACTTATTAGAGTGCTTTCCTTGAGCTGCTGATCTTTAGGTTTTAGAGATATTCGTATGAAAGTTTGAAGCTGTTTATATTATCTCTGTGGAAGTATAGAATCTATGATGTCTTTTGTCTATTGGGTTAATGAGAATGAAGAATACAATTTTTTTCCACTAAAATACATTATCTTTGGGCAAATGGGAATTAAACTTTAAAGATGCTTCTGTCTATACACATGAAAATGGCAAAAAAATATCTTATCAATAAGCTTGGGAATGTGTACTTAATTCAATCAAGAGAGACAAAACAGACAACAGCTATTGTTATCTTGATGAGAAGAATGCTTTAAGATTGCTAAAATGGTTTGATAAAGCATAAAATAGAAACTCTAGATCCATCTTTTTGTATTATTGGAGCATGTGGTTATGAGTCAAAACACTTTTCTCTTATAGAACATGATATTTTGTGTTTGCATTATGACCAATATTTTGTTATGCTTGTATAAAAAAGTTGGCATGCCACCTCTATTTAATTCTAGACTAATTTTATTTGAACTTAAAAATTTAATCTAATTTCTTATCGAATTAACACCAAGTTATAATATTTAATAGAATCCACAGTTAATCCAAATTTCAATAACATTGCTCTTTACTCTATAAACCAACTCTTGGGTATTTAACTCTATATATCTCTCTTTCTCTCTCACACACACACAAAAGCAAATAAAAATAAAAGATAAAACATGGAACGGCTGATCTCAAAATAGGTGACTCCCTAAGCACTCCCATGGAGAAGTTAACTTGGTGTTAGCATAGCTTTTGAATTGTGAGAAACCCTTTATTTATTATTATTATTATTTTTGTTCACAAAAAGGGATTTTGTTTACTAATTAATAATTAAGAAACTAAATTGAGACAATAGAAAGTTTATGGACCATTTTTTAAAACAAGAGGTAAAGTTTAAAGACTAATTACAATATTTATCGTATAATAAAATACCTAACAAGCTTGATAAGAAGTCAATTCCTTCACATTTCGCAAAAGAGTAACAGTAATTTGAGGCCTAATTTATTATAACCATTATGTCAATTGAAATTTGGGTAGATTTCATAATTAGTTCATGAACTTTGACGTCAATTTTAATTTGATTTTTGAACTTTCAATTGTCGCAAGTTAGTCTTTCAATTATTAATTTCATATCGGTCAAGTCTTTTCATCAATTTCTACTGTTAGATTAAATAAAAATATATAATCTAACGGTAAAAATTAATCAGATCGAACTAATTTCCATTTAACCTAACGGTGAAAATAGACAATGACTTGATTGAGACAAAATTTATAGTTGAGGGCCGAAATTATTATAATTAAAAATTCAAAGACCAAATTGAAACTAAAAAAAAAATTTAAGAACTAATTATAATTTTTACCCTAATAAATTAAATCGTGGAAGTAAATCTCCAAATTTGAGAAAAATTCTCCATTTTCTTTCATAATAACACAACCCCCCGGGTCCCCAAAATATGCCAAGATGTGAGAAGTCCTTATGATGTTAACCAATAGTTTCTCCCACCAACAAAGTCTAATGGTATAAATATATAGAACAAACCTCGCTCTCTATTGGCTTGGCACGTCTTAAAGGTACTTGAATAGAACAAAACGATACCTTTTTTTTTTTCTTTCTATTATTCTCCTTTTAAGTTACCAGCATAAATTAAGACACTTTTTTACTTTAGTTTTTGAGAGTTGACACGTTTCGCACCTTTGGTTAGGACTTCAATCTTTATGGTCAAATTAGCCATGTGTTGTCCTCTTTCTCGACGTAGAATAGAATCACAGGTAACTAGTATTCATTCATGTACCACTCTCACCTCCAAACTCCAAAGTTCTTGCTACTTTCTCTTCTAAACATACTTTATAATAATAAAAATTGGACATTAATCTTCTACTTCAAGGCCAATATTTTGCGCATTACCATGGAGTGACAAAAGGGTGTGTTTCTTGTTCCATAGAGAGGAAAAAATATTATATTAGGTGTAATCGTTACAGCACATCAGTAGTGTCATATAATGTAATCGTCAACTAATAAGTAAAAAAATTTACAAATAAACCTCATAGAAATTCATAATCACCTAATCATATAATATAATTATCTTCACGATAAAAAGTAGGTCCTATTTTATTTAATTTATAATTTTTTTATTAAATGGTTACACTATAACAACATTTCTAATATGAAATAACCGTTACACCCAGTATTTACTCTCATAGGATAGGGAAAAAGAAAGGGGGGGGGGTAAAGTTCAAAAAACAAAACAAAAAAAAAAAAAACTTACCCAAAAATCTCGGAATCCGGTTCAAAGATCATTTATTCCAACAAAATGGCAACAAAGTCTAGTCTAACCAGGGCGGTCCATGAGAACCGGCCAAAATTTACGGGCCAGGCCGTGTCAAAAATGTGCCGTCCCGGAAAATGGTCCGGGCTGCAGGTGAGGAAACCAAATCCATGGCCAACCTATGTTAGGAAAAGACAGACATGAGTTGGGTATGGGCCAAGCCGAGGATTTTTTTAAAAATAATACGTTATAATATTACAAGTAATGTTTCGCTAATTAAATTTTAAAATTAAATTAAGAGCTTAAATGACATGACACCTGATTATTTAGAGTCTTTATTGAGGTCCAAATGACATGACACCACATAAAGAAGTTCAAGTCAGTTGTCATGTCATTTGAGCTCTTGATTTGGTCTCAAAATTTAATCAGTATAGTATTACTGTAATATTAATAACCTATATACTATGTGAAGATGTGACTAGTAATAAAATTAGATTTTTTGGCGATAGGTCAAGCATATTGCCATATTATACCGACCCAGGTGGATCAACGATTGGCAGGTTATTTATGGTTTGGGCCATCCCGTGGGCTCTTTAAGTTGTGGGTCATTACAGGTTGAGGTGGCCCATGGATAACCCCAACTCTAACCCATAACTGCATCTATAAACAAACCCGACCTCAAAGTATAACAACAAAACATTAACTAGGATGATAGTGAACACAATGAAAAAATAATGCCGAAGCTGACTCCAACATCTATGATCCGAGGTATGTTCCAGATCATTCAACCCGTCCGTCTCTATGGGCCCAAGAAATCTCTCACTTTCTTTGTTACTGTTACCGATTAAATCCTTGCTAGTATTTAAAACAAACCTACAATTTAAAAGCCTGAAACTAGACTTTAAGAAAACAGAAACTTATTCAGTCATTACTCCTCCTCACTTGCTTATTGCTATTTTTTCCATTACAGACACAGATCAAGTGAGATATCTCTTAAATGTCCAGCGAGAGAGAGATGTGACCCAGCTCACAGCTCACTTGTCAGTAGGGTAGGTTGCTTTTACATATCATCCAAAGTCATAATCACCATTGTTATCAAGCTTCTCCATTTGGCAAGTTTTTGGGGAGTCCTTGTAAAAAATGCCAGTGTTGGCTTCTTCTTTTGTTCCTGTGAGCGTGTAGATTTCAATGACTCTCTCTCTCTCCCTCCCAGTATCCCAGTAAAGACCCTAATAACTAAACATTACACTTTCAAGGACCACTGTATGAGCTGATGGACAACACAGCTTTCCTCTTTCATTTACTGTTTTCTTGCTCAGGCTGGTGAATGAAAACTACACGTAATATTTCATGCATTCAATGACATAGATTTTGAGTCATTGACACTTAGTTGTGGGTCCCTCCTACGTAGAAAATGAATCTTTCACCGTTTGATCTGCCGTGGGCATTCGGATTATGATCAACGGTGCTGATGCTTTGATCAGATGCCACTATGATAAAATGGAGTCTAGGGTGAGTGTTTGTGCCGTTTGTTTGTTTACAACGAACCTGGCAGTTTGGCAACGTGGCAGCACATGGTTTGCTGATGTCTAGTTCACATAGAGCATAAGAATCTAAGTTGAGAATTTAATTTATTACTATTATTAGATTAATTATGAGTTTTAAAATTATAATCGGCCCATGTGGTTTGTGCATAAGTTAATGTGAAAATTGGGAGTGAGTTCCTTTAGATATACTTGTTTGGAGATAAACTCTATAAAGAAACTTATAAGAGATTAAGTCCATGTTTAAAATTATATGTAATAACTTAAGTCCATTTTTTTTTATCTAAAAAATACACTTCATTAAAAAGAAGTTAAATTAATTTTCTATTTTAGAAATTATTATCATTTAATTCAATGTCAATTAAAATATGTCAATAAAATCTCTATCATAAATTTAAAATTCAAATTTAAAACTCTATCTCTCTATATATATATACACGTTGGGTTGTTATGAAGATGATGCAAGTATAGCGGTAGCGGTAGCGGTGGCGGTGGTGTGGAGTAAAAAGGAGTTATCGAAGTGGAACTTAAATGGACTGTTGTGTGGTAATGATGGTGGTGAGCGCTGTTGTGGAAGTGATGACAACGTGATGGTTAGCGTTGCTCGGGAGGTGATGATGTTGCGATGGTGGCAGTGTTATGGTGAGGAAAGTGGTAGCCGAATATATATATATACACCTAACCTATATATTAAAATTCATGTTATTATTTTTTTTATTATATTACTGTTCATATTACTGATTTTGTTGAGTATGTTATTGTTCATGTTACTATTATTTTGAAAATGTTATTGTTTTTGTTGACAATGTTACTACTATTATTTTATTAAATATTAATATTCAATGTTACTATTTTTTGTGTTTGAATGGTACTATTTTTTGTAATTGAATTTGAGAGAAATAATTATTGTTAAATATGTTACAGTTTTTGTTAAGCATGTTACTATTTTTGTTAAACATATTAATATTTTTGTTGAACATGTTACTGTTGCTATTTTTTAAAATATTAATATTGAATGTTTCAATTTTTTTATGTTTAAATGTTATTATTTTTTTGTGTTTAAATATATTATTTTTTGTGTTCAAATAATAACTTTATTTTTTATTTGAATATTACTATTTTTTATTTTTAATGTTACTATATATACACACCTAATCTATATATGAATATAGAGAGATAAAATTTTAATATTAATCAAATTCTTAACCTATATATGGATATAGATGGATATGTGAGAGAAAATTTTTTAATGTTAGTCAAACTTCTAAAATTTAAGAATTTTTAATTTTTAATTTTATTTTACTTCTAAAGAAAATGGATAGTGTGATAAAATTGATAAAAAAAATAGATTTCATAACAAATAAGTTTTATTGACAGACTTTAGTCCAAATAAATTTATATAAAAGATGACCGGTTTCTAAATTTTCTTAAATTAATTCAAATATCTCTAACAATTAAAAAAAAATCCGAAATATTTGTTTGCTTCCTCAGAAGAGACATTTTCCACCTGCCCTGTGTCTTCGCACAGTCTCCCTCTCTCTCGCTCTCTCAGAGTCGCAGACCCTTTGCTTTCTGCTCTTTCCTTTGGTCCCATCAAAAATCTCTTTCCCGGAGAACAAGTCAAGTGATTCAAATTAAGTGTCGAGAATAGCCTTGTACTCGATCAAAATTCACCATTTCTTAACTAACAGTTTTGTCCCTTTTAGAGGGCATTTTTGTTAATTCATTTAGATGCTCCAAACCCGGAATCTGTGTCATCATCAATACTGGGCTATCCGGAAGACCTTTCCCTATTCCGGGCCCCCATTTACCAAGGATCGAAAACCTTTAAGTAGGGCCCCCCCTTAGATGAAACAACGCCGTTTCCCTTCTTGCCTGTTACATTTCACAAGAAAATATAGGAATTATTTCGAATTTTGTACCATTCCACAATCGCTCATGTTCCCAACACTTTTGTCTCTCTCTCTCTCTCTTCTGCTTAAAAGAGCTCCCAACTTTCAGGTTTCAATACGGAAGAATTCTCTCTCTATATCAATGGCGTAGAGAACTCAACTGACGGTAGCGCACCTTCCAAAAAAAGGGTAATCACTGTAGTGTGAAGAGGACATTGGCCACTGGTAGTTCCATTTATAAGCTATCACTCTCATTTTCTCAGTACTCTTCATCTTCACAAGCCTAATGGGTATGACGTTTAGGCTTCTGTGTCTCAGTTTCATTTTGTTTCAGCCATTGTTCTTGACCTCCACCGCCATTTTAGAGCTGAAAAATCAAGACCCAGAAAGAAAAAACTTGCTTTCTTTCAAGAACTCTCTTGAAAACCCACTTCTTCTCTCTTCATGGAACTCTGCGACCCCTCATTGTCGCTGGGAGGGTGTGTTCTGCCAAGATGGTCGAGTCAGCTCACTCGTTCTGTCAACTCAGTCTCTCAAGGGACCTCTCTCTCCTTGTCTTTTCTCTCTGTCCAACCTCGTTTTCCTCGACCTGTCCTCAAACCTTCTCTATGGGGGAATCTCGCCGGAAATAGCTTCCCTTCAGAAGCTAAAGGTTTTGGACTTGGGTGATAACCAGATGTCCGGTGAGTTACCTAGTGAACTGGGTATGTTGACTGAGTTGCAGACTCTGAAACTCGGACCCAACTTTTTTACCGGGAAAATCCCGCCGGAACTCGGAAGTCTGACAAAAATCCACTCTCTGGACCTCTCCGGCAATGCACTCACTGGAAACGTTCCTATCCAGATTGGAAATCTGACAGGCCTCACTTTTTTAGGCCTCGGCAACAACTTTCTCTCAGGATATCTCTCTCCAACTCTCTTCACAAAGCTTCAGTCTTTAACCTCTTTAGACGTCTCAAACAACTCTTTTTCCGGCTATATTCCACCGGAAATAAAAAACTTAAAGAACCTCATTGACCTTTACATCGGAATCAACCACTTTTCCGGTGAATTACCGCCGGAAATTGGTGACCTTTCGAGTCTCCAGAACTTATTTGCGCCTTCTTGCGCTATCAGAGGCCCATTGCCGGAAACGATATCAAATCTAAAATCGCTGAGCAAACTTGATCTTTCTTACAACCCATTGAAGTGTTCAATCCCAAAATCCATCGGAAAGCTTCAAAATTTAACCATCTTGAATCTTGTTTACTCTGAGCTCAATGGTTCCATACCAGCCGAGTTGGGCTTCTGTAGAAACTTAAGGACATTAGTCCTTTCCTTCAATTTGCTTTCTGGGTCTTTACCTGAAGAGCTTGCGGAGTTGCCAATGTTCGCATTTTCTGCGGAAATGAACCAGCTTTCGGGTCCATTGCCTTCTTGGCTTGGCAAATGGGACCAAATTGATTCACTTTTGCTTTCAAGCAATAAGTTTTCAGGGAAAATTCCACCGGAGATTGGAAATTGTTCGCTGCTCAACCACATTAGTCTCAGCAACAACTTGTTGACTGGCCCAATACCCAAAGAGCTGTGTAATGATGTGGCGCTTACAGAGATTGATCTGGATAGTAACTTTCTTTCTGGTACCATTGAAGACACATTTGTCAAATGTAGGAACTTGACCCAGTTGGTTTTGGTGGATAATCAGATAGTCGGGTCTATACCTGAGTACCTTTCAGAGCTTCCTTTGATGGTGCTTGACTTGGATTCCAACAATTTCACGGGTTCTATTCCTGTGGGTTTGTGGGATTCAGTGAATTTGATGGAGTTCTCAGCTGCCAATAATCACTTAGATGGCACTCTCTCTGTGGAAATTGGTAATGCTGTTTTGTTGGAAAGGCTTGTTCTTAGTAACAATCACTTGAAGGGGACAATACCAAGTGAGATTGGCAATCTCACTTCCCTTTCTGTTCTCAATCTGAATTCCAATCTCCTTGAAGGGACCATTCCGTCTGAGCTTGGGAACTGCGTTGCTCTTACGACATTGGACCTAGGGAACAACAGTCTCGACGGGTCAATTCCAGAGAGGCTAACTGATTTGGCTCTCTTACAATGCTTGGTTCTCTCTTACAATAACCTATCTGGGTTGATTCCTTCAAAGCGGTCTTTGTACTTTCGTCAAGTTGGTATCCCTGATTCCAGTTTTGTTCAGCACCATGGGGTATATGATCTTTCACACAATGGGTTGTCTGGTTCTATACCCGAAGAGCTAGGGGGCCTTGTGGTGGTGGTGGATCTTTTACTCAGCAACAACTTGCTCTCTGGAGAGATTCCAAGATCACTAACTCGCTTGACAAATCTCACCACGTTAGACTTATCTGGTAATCTTCTTACAGGTGGTATTCCAATGGAATTTGGTGACTCGGTTAGGCTACAAGGGTTTTATATGGGGAATAACCAGCTCACAGGCACCATACCTGAAAGCTTAGGCCAATTGAGTGGTTTAGTGAAGCTGAATTTGACTAGAAATAAGCTATCTGGTTCTGTCCCTTCTACTTTTGGGAATTTGAATGAGCTTACCCACCTAGATTTGAGCTCGAACAACCTTAATGGCGAGCTTCCTCCCTCTCTTTCGAGGATGGTGAACCTTGTGGGTCTTTACGTTCAGGACAACAGGCTTTCTGGTCATATATATGAGCTCTTTTCAAACTCCATGGCATGGAGAATCGAAATTGTGAATTTCAGCAATAATTTGTTTAGCGGGAATTTGCCACAATCTTTGAGCAATCTGTCATACTTGACGTATTTGGATCTTCATGGTAATAATTTCAATGGAGAAATTCCCTCTGAGTTTGCAAATCTTATGCAACTTGAATATTTAGATGTTTCAGGGAACAGGCTCTCTGGGCAGATTCCTGAGAAACTATGCGGGCTTGTCAACATGTTTTCTTTGAATTTGGCAGGAAATAGATTGGAAGGGCCTATTCCCAAAAATGGAATTTGCCGTAACCTTTCAAAAATTTCTCTTTCTGGGAATGAAGATCTCTGTGGGGCTCTTTTGGGTTCTAGATGCCCGGTAAAGAGCTTCGACAGAAGATCCCCACTGTTAAATGTCTGGGGACTGATATCAGTTGTGGTTGGAACTATTTTGATTACTTCATCAATAGCTATTGTGTTACGCATGTGGCTTATTAGTAGCAAAAGGCCATGTGATCCCAAAGATACTGAAGTCAGCAAACAAAACAGTTCTGTTGATCAAAATCTGTATCTTTTGAGTAGCAGCAGATCAAAGGAGCCTCTGAGTATCAATGTGGCTATGTTTGAGCAGCCTCTCCTGAAACTTACATTGGTTGATATTCTCGAAGCAACAAACAACTTTTGCAAGACCAACATTATTGGGGATGGAGGGTTTGGGACTGTTTACAAGGCTACTTTGCCTGATGGGAAAACAGTTGCTGTTAAGAAGCTGAATCAAGCTAAAACACAGGGTCACCGAGAATTTCTAGCTGAAATGGAAACTTTAGGTAAAGTAAAACATCGAAATCTTGTTTCATTGCTCGGGTACTGCTCTTTTGGTGAGGAAAAGCTGCTTGTTTATGAGTATATGGTTAATGGGAGCTTGGATCTTTGGCTGAGAAACCGAAGTGGGACTCTTGAAGTTTTGGACTGGAGCAAACGCTTCCAAATTGCTGTAGGTGCTGCCCGTGGGCTAGCTTTTCTTCATCATGGTTTCATTCCTCACATCATTCACAGGGATATTAAGGCCAGCAACATCTTACTCAATGCAGACTTTGAACCAAAAGTTGCAGACTTCGGCTTGGCAAGATTGATTAGTGCTTGTGAGACTCATGTGAGTACAGATATTGCTGGTACATTTGGGTACATTCCACCTGAATATGGGCAGAGCTGGAAGTCGACCACAAGGGGAGATGTTTATAGTTTTGGTGTCATTCTACTTGAATTGGTGACTGGAAAAGAGCCAACGGGACCTGATTTTAAAGATATTGAAGGCGGGAACTTGGTTGGCTGGGTTTTTCAAAAGATCAAGAAGGGCCAGGCTGTAGATGTACTTGATCCAACGGTACTCAATGCAGATTCAAAGCAGATGATGCTGCAAACTTTGCAAATTGCTGCCATATGCCTGTCTGATAATCCAGCAAACCGCCCTACCATGCTTCATGTTATGAAATTCTTAAAAGGGATCAAAAACATAGAGTGAGTGAAAATTAAGGGATGCTGTCTAGATAACACTGTTGAATAGCTAGTGTGAAGTTATATTTTAGTAGTTTCAGTTTGCTATATAGTTTATGAAGCGTTTCAAATTCTTAACTTCGTAGTCCTGTCTCTCACCTGACTTGTATGAATATCTTGTAATCTGCCAGATTTATATAACTGCTGCTTGTGTCTCCATGGATTCCATTGTTCTGTAGTTGTACAGAGGAATTGTTTCACTTCATTTTATGTTAAACATGTAAGAATGTGACTCGTAATGAAACTTCTTGCATATTGTGGAAGACAAAACATTAAAACAATTGAAAAAATTGAGGATTGTCCATGCAATGGGAGAAATCCTACCTCATGTTATTGTTTATCTTTTTCACAACCAGTCTCAAGTTTTGACAAAAAAGAGGGTTAGGGTTATGTTGGGTAGTCGACAATCATCAAGAAATTCATTAGATCTTTCTATTTGTTGGTCTAAAGCTAGTCAATAAATGTGTTCTATTCTCACGTGCTTATGATCTGTCATAGAATCTGTTGATAGATTAATGGTAGATCATACAATAATTAGCTTTGGCGTCTATGGAATGTTTTCAAATGAAAAATAAGCAAATCTAGGTAACCAATGATCAAGAGATAATCTGGTTCATGCACTTATTTGCCATAATCTTTTCATTAACGTTTTGTTTTTACTTGGGAATACACATTCGTTTGCATGTGCAAATTGCAATTCTCTTTCTTCCAACAAAGAGTATCACTCAATAATGCATCCACAAAAGTTGTGTGCATGTATGAGGATTTTGTGTATTACTTCTTTGCTTGTAAGCACCCTTACAAGTTACAACAACTACAACAAATCATTGGCCAATCAAACAAAAGACGATTTAATTCAACACCAATTTAGATAAAAAATTATAAATTAATTAAACAATTTTTTTCACTCTACCAATCAAGTTAATCACTTCAAAATCAAGTTATTTGTGTTTAATACCCGACCCGACCACATCATCAAAAAAAATTGATTTGTCAAATTGGTTAGTTTTCATAGTAGTATACTAGTTCTAATTATCCTTTGGTTTGAAATAGAAGAATGTTAATGACCCTATCATTCTATTTTGATTCTTCTTTTTTGGAGACACTAACGATGCTTTAGAAACATGTAATGATATGTTCAGAAAACAAAAAAAAAAAAAAAAAAAAAATTGGAAATTACAGAGTTTAAATGGCGACAGTCAAATAACTAACTTCACAGAAAGTAACAGTGAGCAGATTTCATAGGACTGCTGTGCAAGATGAAACATTTAATACTCACCATGTGCATCTTACTAACTACTTCCATCAGTGTTTTAAAATTCTAACTATGTATGGTATAACCTCGATCATCAATCTACTACCTGTTGGAAAAATAAAAGCTTTAAAATTTCTCATTCAATTTATTTTATATGTTTTAATGATTCACTTTTAATTTAGAATTTAATTGAATTTTATGAGTAATTATATTTTGTTTTAATTTGACATTTGAATGCTTTTATGTGGTGGGGGTTACTAGCTTATGGGCTTTAAAAGCCTCTAATGACTAGCATTTTCAAATATAAAAAGAGGTCATATAATGAGAGTGTATGTTTTTTAGTATGAGAGTGTATGTTTTTTAGTATGTATTTTTTTATATAAATATATTATACATGTATTTTCTAATTATGTTTTTGAAAAACGTCGATTCGAGTCAGGTTCACCCAACAATCTAAAGCAGTTATGCCTCCTCACGTGAAGGTACTAACGGACATATGCAGCTCCAAGATCCAACTCAAATATGCTCACAATATCACCTCCTCAGGAGTCATGTTTCATGAATATCTAAAATACTACCGCCATGTAATTGGTAAATATTTTTAGATGTCCAATTCTTGACATATGTACAATTGCATAGATGAATACATGACTTTATCATATATTCATATGCATAAAAGGATGGTAATTACCGGTTATGATGCTAACATACCATGTTTCTATCTCCTACAACCGTTAATCTCTATATATTTTATCGAACTTTTATATTTTATTGTTTAAGTGAGTAATTGATCAATTAATGCCATCTCATGTGTAAAACAAAAGTAGTTGTTAATAAATGTATTAATTATATTACATATTTTAAAATAATATTAACTGATAAATTTCAAGGGATTTTGATTTGTTTTGAAGAAACCGGCCTGAAACCGGCCTAAAACCTGGACACGAGTTTAGAATTCAGTAACGTACAACTATACGTTACTTAAAAGTCAAATAGTGCTATATGTAAAATCGTCACTATGAAAATGTTCATAAAATTTAGGGGTGTATTTTAACAACAATGATTAAAAAAAAAAGGGTACTACAAAACACATGAGGACTATTTATTCTTATTATTAAAATATTACTTAAAAGTTTGAAATGTTACACTTGTATAACCAATTATTCTCTTGTGGACTATTTAAAGTATTGATTGAGTTCATAAGCTAATAAAGGATTTGATCAGTATTTAGAGTTGGGAGATCTTTTGGCCACTTCACTATAAAAAAGAGAACTTCCATATAACTGAAAATAGTTCATAGTATAGTTTGTATCAAAAATTCAAAATACATTTCAGGTTTCGGTAGTCTATATCCAAGTGCCTACCAAGAACAAGTTCAAGATAATCAACCGTCACTATTGTATCAAATTAATTGTTGAAGGCTAACTATTTGTTTTTAATTGACAAAGTGAAATTTCTTCTGCTTCTAGAAATGGGTCGACATAAGTTGACCATTTTAGACCTATACAATCTCTATTATATAAACTTAATGCCGATTGTGAAATATGCCCTAACATTTTTCAATCTTAGATACGTATATAAAACCTTGGGTGGGTATTTCATTTCTAATTATCATGTCTTATCCATCAAGCTGAGAATGAAGTCAAATAAGTTGTTACTGGAGTTTAAAATTTAAAATTGCAAACTGATGATTAATTTTAAAATTCTTAGCTTGCATCTCTGTGACAATTACGTGTTTTACTTACCGTCGTCAAAACTCTAAAATGTGGGGGTAAGATTTATTTTATTCTTCAATTGAAAAGATATATGTGTTTTACCTGAGTTTTGAAATTTACTAAATGCAAGTTTATGCGTTACCTGAATTTTAAAATTTACTATTTGCAAGTCTATACGTTATAACAATTAAGTGGTGTCATTTACTTGATGAGAAAATAATAGACAAATTATGTCATGTAGCAATTAGTCTAATTGTGTGATTGTCAACCTACTGGAGGATTATTATTGGTAAATGGTTGTTAATGTAGAGGTTGACACAAGTATTGTTCTAATGAGCTACAAGATCTTGAATAATGATGCACATGTGATCGAAATTTTCTTACAAGTTGTGTTTCGATATCTGTTCATTGGTCTTGAAAATTGCAACGGTACACTCTATTGAGATGCTTATATAAGTTGTTTCTTACCTATATTATTTATTTGTGGCCATTACATCATCTCAAACAAATGCATTTTAATGTGATATTTATCAGTAATGTTTGAGACAGGTTAGATTAATATCAATAAGAAGGAATGGAGATGTGTACGCTCGAGCAAGATTTTCATCCGTGAAGAATGATATCATTTTACCCAAAAAAAATATATTATAAATCTCAGCCAAACAAAACTGACGAATAATTATACAACTTTCGAGGAAAATAATGAGACATGCATATATAAAAGATGATTAATTTTATCATTGAGCTTTCGAGGAAAACCAAATTTTTGAGAAAAACTGTCTCAATAACTGTCGAGGGGGATGGATTTAAGCCCGCAAGGGAGTCACCTAGGGAGGTAACCCAACTTCTATGATTGGGGACCCCATGAAAGAAGTTCAATGGGTAGAAATAATTCATACTGCGTGACTCATTAGTACTGTTGTTAAGAAAATATCCTAAGAAGAGATATTTTCATGCTCATCCCTATGACAGAGGAGCATATGTAGTGTGATGGTGGGGAAGGATTTTATCCTGAATGAGACTGAGGCAGGAACACTCCTGCAGGGTATTGTGCACATGTATCCTTGGAGGGCTCATTTAAGTTAGAGTAGTCGTGAGGCCGCGACTCTGAGAATTAAGTTATTCTCTAGAAACTCTCATGAGAATCAAGATCAAGTGCATGACCATTAAAAACGCATTGACCCTCGAATTCTGACCAATATCGGTATTATGTGTGTGATAGTTGAACTTTGGCTCAAAGGGTCTAGTTCAAGCTTTTGGTCACTATGATCCTTCAGAGGGAGGCTGTCAACATTAAGTGAGGTTCAAGTCCAGAAGACACCTACACTCATTGCGCAGTATTATAGTTGCCTTAATTTTTCTATATTCATTTTATGCTTATATATGTATAAAATTATATTTATCATTGATATTCAAAATTTTAAAACTTGTGGGGGATTGTTAGAAAAATAAAAGCTTTAAAATTTCTCATTAAATTTATTTTATATGTTTTAATGACTCACTTTTAATTTAAAATTTAATTGAATTTTATGAGTAATTATATTTTATTTTAATTTGACATTTGAATGCTTTTATGTGGTGGGGGTTACTAGTTGATGGGCTTTAAAAGCCTCTAATGACTAGCATTCTCAAATATAAAAGGAGGTCATATAATGAGAGTGTATGTTTTTTAGTATGTATTCTTTTTTATATATGTTGTACATGTTTCTTTCAATTATATTTTTGGACAACGTCGATTTGAGTCAGGTTCACCCCAATACTACCAAGTAGACAGGTAGCAACATTAAAGGCTCTCAGTTTGAGTTATTTCTGCCGCACAATGCATGTCAACTGTTGTAAACCTTACCTTTATAATCTGAGCCCTTTTTGTTTTTGATTTTGTTGGATAGAGTATTTTAAGTCACACATTAGAGATCAAGACGTGGCCCATCAACCGTGTCGGGTTGGGGACATTCATGTCGGGTCTTAACGGGTTTGTGTAAAAAAATATTTAATTGG